CTGTTTGGGTATCAGCCAGCACGTCAACGACTTAAATCTAGACAAAGTTTTCTAAGATCTACAGAGACACTCACTGGAACACCTCAGCAAGCGAGAGTCCAAGAGTGGCAGGCTCAAACCCAGCACCTCAACCAATGGCTGATACCAAATGAGAAACTCCCTCCTGGGCACACAGAAGACTGGGCGACTTGGAAGGCGCTGAACAGACTGCGCTCTGGCACCACGAGATGCAGAGCCAACCTTCAGAAATGGGGCTACAAAGTGGAATCCTCGACATGTGAGTGTGGAGAAGAGCAAACCACTGACACCTGCTGCAATGCACCCTGAGCCCAGCCACATGCACAATGGAGGACCTTCTTGCAGCAACACCGGAGGCACTCCAAGTGGCCAGATACTGGTCAAAGGACATTTAACCAACTACCAAACTCACAAGTTTTGTATTTTTCTGTTTGTTTGCTTTGTTCTGTTAGAAATGTAATATAATGGACTGGTCGCTCTGACACGACAAATAAATTGGGTCTATCACTGCGTCTATTACTTGGTGCACTGTCTCACGCACGTGTTGCCTTCTCTAATTCAGAGCTGCGTTGCGCAACCAGAGTAGTGCTACCTGCACTGGGTCCCAGCTATCATACTTTTACCGATATATGAGAATTACAACCCTGATCAATGTTTAACAACAATGGTACTTTTTCCGCTGCCTTTGAGGACATTGTACCTGATCTGGCAGAGATGTGGGATCCCTCGGCTGCCATTGGAGAAATTAGTTGTGGAGGCCTGCTTGTGACAGGTCCACTGGAACATCTTCCCCGGAATATGGGCTTGGAAGGACACCTTGCGGCCGATCGCCCCGCCACTGTCTCATCTGATGTGGTCCTGAGTTTAGGCTGCAAACATGAAAGCAGAGATGGTTCATTTCAAACAATGGTGAAACACTCCCATGCTTCTAAGGCAGACATGGGCAAACTTTGGCCCTCCAGGTGTTTTGGACTTCAATTCCCACAATTCCTAACAGCCTACCGGCTGTTAGGAATTGTGAGAATTAAAGTCCAAAACACCCGGAGGGCCAAAGTTTGCCCATGTCTGCCTTAGAAGCATGGGAGTGTTTCACCATTCACTGGCTGTTAGGAATTGTAGGAGTTGAAGTCCAAAACACCTGGAGGGTCAAAGGTTGCCCATTCCTGATCTAAAGTGACCAAAAAAATTCTGTCCATGCTGTTGTAGGTGGTTGTGGAAGGGATTTTAGGCTCAAAAATGTTTAAAAAGTTATTTACAGCTGTTCCTGCTATTCAAAACAAAGTTTCCCTGGGCCTAAATTTTTCCGAATTTATTCCTAATTACGAAGATTCTGACTGGACCTAACCATGTTTAATATATACCTTTGGCTATAGCCAAAGTCCTAACAGCTGTGTGAAGTTCCGAAACTGCTGCACAGGTGCATCACAATACCGTATGTGTGCATTTCACAAAGACCACGAAGAAAGAAACATAAGATTCTCTAGGGGCCCTTCCATACTACACAATTACAGAGCTATGATTCCGCCTTAACTGCCAAGACTGCATCCTACTGAAATCTGGAGTTAGTTGTTTGGAAAGGTGGGTTGAGATGTCTCTTCTTAAACTCCAAATCTCCTGACTTGTGCATTGAGTGAAGGATGAGTGAAGAACAATTAATATATTCGTATCTCACTTGGCTCCCAACAGTTACTTACCTTTGGAGGCAGTGGAGGTGGAACATTCACAGATAAAGATTCACTGGGAGGGAAAAGAGGTCAAAATCATGAATACATTGCCAGCCTTTCTCTCCAGACTAGCGTAACTTTTCCAGTAAAATGCCACATTGCAAAGAAAAGTATAAAATTGAAATAGCCCCCTCCCCACTTCTAAGGGAGCTCCCAGTGGCGCAGTGGGTTAAACCGCTGAACTGCTTAACTTGATGACCGAAAGGTCACATTTTCGAATATGGGGAGTGGTGTGAGCTTCCGCTGTTAGCCCCAGCTTCTGCCAACCTAGCAGTTCGAAAACATGCAAATGTGAGTAGATCAATAGGTACCGCTCCAGCGGGAAGGTAACAGTGCTCTATGCAGTCATGCTGGCCAAATGACCTTGGAGGTGTCTATGGACAACACCAGCTCTTCGGATTAGAGATGGAAATGAGCACCAACCCCAGAGTCGGACACAACTGGACTTAATGTCAGGGGGAAACCTTAACCTTGACCTACCCACTTCCAGAGACAAAGTGGCAACGAGCCTCATCCCACACACCAACAAAAGAAAATCTGACCCTGAGATGCTGATCTTTGACTTGCCTGGAGGGGAAATTGTGTCTTTTGGGTCTATATTTATATATATATATATATATATATATTATTTTTTAAAAAAAATAGAAGAGTTACCTGCTTGCGTGACGTCTGCTGGGGCTAGAAGACAGTAATGAAGATATGTCCCATGCCAAAAAAGAAAAAGAAAAGAAAAGAAAAATAGGGATAAGCTGAGAGAATGAACTCAAGGAGACATAATTATAAAATAAATTTTCACGAAGAGTGAATTAAGGGCCCCTGAGACATTTTATTTTGAGGAGTACTTCCTAATTCTTCCGCACACTGCTGGAAGGTTTTATGGTGTCATAAATTAGTTAAATTAGCCTCCCCACGTAAAGCGGTACCTACGTTTCCTACTTGACAGATGCAACTGTCTTTCGGGCTGTATAGGTCAACAGCAAGCTAGACTATTAATGGTTGGGAGCTCACTCCAACCCGGGCTGGCTTCGAACGCATGGCCTCTCGGTCAGTAGTGATTTAATGCAGCTGGCCACATGACCTCTCGGTCACAGCCAGCTGCATTAAATCACTACGGACCGAGAGGTCATGAGTACGAAGCCAGCCTGGGTCAGAGTGAGCTCCTGACCATTAATAGTCTAGCTTGCTGTTGACTTATTTATTTATTTATTTATTTATTTATTTTATTATTTAAACTTATATGCCGCCACTCCCCTGGGGCTCGGAGCGGCTTACAAGGATGGCTAAAATCTAACTTACCTTTTGAGGCTGTGGAGGTGACTTATGCAGCCCGAAAGACAGTTGCATCTGCCAAGTAGGAAATTTAGGTACCGCTTTACGTGGGGAGGCTAATTTAACTAATTTATGACACCATAAAACCTTCCAGCAGCGTGCAGAAGAATGAGGAAGTACTCCATCAAAGGACTCGGTATCACAAAGTAGACGGTGAAGCAGCAGCTCCCCCTGTGGCTGGAATTGAGCATACCCTCATGAAGCCGGAAAAGCTGGAATGTTAAATTGCCTCTGTATCTGTCTATAGATGTTGAATGTCTAAATGGCATTGAATATTTGCCATGTATATGTGCACTGAAATCCGCCCTGAGTTCCCTGCAGAGTGAGAAGAGTGGAATATAAATATTGTAAATAAATAAATATTTTTAGAAGACAATTTATTTGCCTGCCCTCCTATAACTCTGTCACTTATGCATTATCTGATGAATCTCCTTTGGAGTGACACCTTCTGCTGTCAAGAATTCAATGACTGCACGTTGCTTATGTCGCATTGACAGACCATCTGTGCAGGGTTCCATACTTTGCACTTTAACAACACAACCGTTCAATGCTAAGGCTTCCTGCTGAAATGGAACTGTAGAGGAGAGTCTACTGAACAAGCCATTACCTGCTGCATACCAGTACTGCCATCTGTTGGGGAGTTACAAAGGTGAAGGCATTACTTTTCATTCAACCCTCATATTATGTATGCCAGGGATACACAACTTGCAGCATAGGGGCAGAACATGCCCTATGGGGTTCCTGCAAGCTTCTATTTTTCCTATAGCTAGCTCCAGTTAGTAATCTGGCAGCCAACCTTTATACTAACTGCAGTTTCTGAACCATCTTCAAAGGCAGCCCCACGTAGAGTGTGTTGCAGTTGTCCATTCTGGATATAACTAAGGCATGGACCACAGTGGACAAGTCAGGCTTTTCGAGATACGGTTGCAGTTGGTGCACAAGTTTAAACTGTGTGAAGGCCCTCTTGGCAACACCTGAGCTTCAAGCATCAACGATGAGTCCAGAAGGACACCCAGACTGAAGACCTGTGTCCTCAGGTCCTCCTTATGAGGACTTCCAAGCTTCCAGACTCCATCCATGTCATATTTGCAAACAATTCTTCACCCTCAAATCATCCATATACACAGTAAACCATCCTAAAATGGTGTGTCTCCCCCACAGCTAGCAAACATGGCAAAAATTGACCGAAACAGGAACCTGGAGCGAAGTGATATCACTCCTAGGTTGCTAAGAATGCACCAGTACAGTCTACTAGAAGTCCACTGAGTGAAAATGGGTTACTCAGAACCCACACCTACTCACATTATGGGATTTTCCCACATCAATGATGGAACTGAAAGAATCTAATCTGCAGAGTCCCAGGAGGTTAAAAATAATTAGACTGAAGAGATTAGGCAGTGTTTTATGCAATCAAAGGGTGTGTTTATGACACATCGTAGACAGGACTGGCTCTCTCCATGTCGTCACTTACATGTCCACGTCATCGTAATCATTGTCCGAGTCTGTTGTCGCTTCTCTAAAAAGAAAGACAAAAACAGCAGACAACTATTATATTTAGTGATTAGAGACGGACAAAGTAAACTCTGGTTTGATGTGGGAGCACTTCATTTAAAAAATCAATTGAGAACACTATAGGGGTTGCTGAGAGTTTTCCGAGCTGTCTGGCTAAGTTCCAGAAGCATACTCTCCTGACGTTTTGGCCGCATCCTCAGAGGTTGTGAAGTCTGTCGGAAACTAGGCAAGTGAGGTATATATATCTGTGGAATAATGTTCAGGATAGAAGAAAGAACTCTTGTCTGTTGGAGACAAGTGTGAATGTTACAATTGGCCACCTTCATTAGCACTGAATGGCCTTGCAGCTTCAAACAATCAGGGCCAGCTAACACCTCCCAACCCAACAAAGGATTCCTCCAGACAGGAAGCAGCCAAGCTTTGAAGCTGCAAAGCTATTCAATGCTAATCAAGATGGCCAATTGCAACATTCACACCTGCCTCAAGCAGACAAGAGTTCTTTCTCCCACCCTGGACATTATTCCACAGATATATAAAACTCACTTGCTTAGTTTCCAACAGACCTCACAAGCTCCGAGGACGCCTGTCAAAGTTGTGGGCAAAATGTCAGGAGAGAATGCTTCTGGAACATAGCCATACAGCCCAGAAAACTCACAGCAACCCAGTGATTCTGGCCATGAAAACCTTCGACAACACAAAGTAAACTCTATTGCAGTTCAGAACTGGGGTTGATTCATGTCACATACGAGATAAAAAAAAATCCCCAAGAAGGGTGTCTGTATTCCTAATGTTATGAACCACAGGTAATTTTCCACATACCCTCAGTACCATATAGCCCACTGTAATGAACTCATACCTTTTCAGTAGGCCGCAGCCTGGAAGTCAGTGAGTTGGCCTCCATGTTGGGAAGGCAGCTCAGGATGGTGGACATGATGGTATAGGCAGAGAGGCAAGGGGAGGAGTCAGTTAACTCCTGATTGGTTCAGACCCCAAGGGGAGGAGTTGAAGGAGAGTGTAAATAGGCTGTCATTTCTGACAGAAGGGAGAGAGAAGGAGTTGATCTAGCAGAGAAAAGATTAGGATTTCAGACAGGGAGAAGAGAGTTTCTTAGTGAGCTAGGAATTAGCCTGTTAGGGAATAATTAAAGAGCAAGTGCTTCTGTATAGTTTGACTAGGGCAGTCAAAGTGAAGGCTTGTTTACTTGTATTAGGACAGAATACAAGTGGGTTTATTTCCCTAAAGGTCAGAGTAGTCCAGGGGAAACCTAGATACTCTGGAAGGCAGCCAGGGGTGGCTGGTCAAAGAATCACACTGTTACACATTACAGGGTAGAGTGAGGAAAAGTAGCTCATGGTAAAGAAAAGTTACTCCTTCTAAAGAAACCATTTGTTTAATAAGTCTGTGCTTCAGAAACAAACTACGCGTATGTACCTCTTAGTAGTCAGTTGTTTGCTTCAATTACTTCAATAAACCTGTTCTCTAGTTTATTGTTAATCTGCCTCAGCCTTGTTTCATCATATTTATTTATTTATTTATTTATTTATTTGGGGTTCTTTTACCCCGCCCTTCTCACCCCGAAGGGGACTCAGGGCGGCTTACAAGGCAAAGGCACAATTCGATGCCTGCATCATAAAACAATCATACACAAAATTACATCAATTCACAGTTAACAACAATTCATGCATTATAACCATAAAATCAATAAAATCAATAAAAACCAATACAAACCCAATTTCTCCTCTTACATGGTCAGCGTTCGCTAACTCATAGATCTAGTTTTACGTTCCACTTCATCAATCCTGTTGGACATACTCGCCTGATTGTCTGATTTAATTGCCAGAGTGCCCAAAGGCCTGGTCCCATAACCACATCTTCACCCTCCTCCTGAAGGCGAGGAGGGATGGTGATGCCCTGATTTCCCCCGGGAGTGAATTCCACAGGTGAGGGGCCACCACTGAGAAAGCCCTGCTCCTCGTCCCCACCAGCCTCACTTGTGACAGTGGTGGGGTCGAGAGCAGGGCCTCCCCAGATGATCTCAGACTCCGGGGTGGGACGTAGAGGGAGATACGTTCGGACAGATACACTGGACCGGAACCGTACAGGGTTTTGTAGGTCAAAACCAGCACCTTGAATTGTGCTCGGAACTGAATCGGCAGCCAGTGGAGCTGGCACAGCAGGGGGGTGGTATGCTCCCTGTATGTCGCTCCGGTGAGCAATCTGGCTGCCGCTCACTGGACTAGTTGAAGTTTCCGAACAGTCTTCAAGGGCAACCCCACGTAGAGCGCGTTGCAGTAGTCTATTCGGATGTAACAAGAGCATGGACCACCGTGGCCAGATCAGACTTCCCAAGGTACGGGCGCAACTGGTGCACAAGTTTTAATTGCGCAAAAGCTCTCCCGGCCACCGCTGAGACCATACAAGGTTAGATCCAGTAAGCCTCCACATCTCTACAGTTCAGTCACCAGAATGATAGCCAAAAGGAAAACCGGTGTATAGGGACATTTTACCTCAAGTTCAACAACAAGACAATTCCTCAAACTGTAATTTGGGGTGGTGGCAGCAAACCTACCATTACACACTCACGTTATAACAACAACACTCGTGTTGAAGCACTTTGGGTCTGACAGGAGGGGATTGAAAAGAAAGGTTCCCCCCGTCACATGCAGTATAAGAGACCCTTATCTCCCTTACACCCACACACAGAGATAAATTAATTTATAATAAATATAATTGAAAATTATGACTAGATATTGCCCCCCTCCGCCCCAGAGCTGCACGGATAAAACTCATTCTGCATCTGGGAATCACTAGCTAATTAGTGATGGACTAATTACACATTTTGAGAGCATTCACAATGAGAAATGTTCTCATTCAAGAGACCTATCTGGTGGTTGTTAAGGTGAGCTAACAGGGAGATGAGGCTCTCTCCAAGGACTCTTACCTGCTGCTGAATGGAGAGCTGTAGAGGTCGCTGCCAGTCCCATAACCAGGGTCTGTGGAGCTTTCCTGCAGCCAGAAAACAACAACAACAACAACAACAACAACAATAAGGAGAAGGAGAAGGAGAAGAAGAGTAAGGAAAAATCAATTACTGGAGAAGCATCTGGGCCATGAGGAACTGTTTACCTGCTTTTGTTCCAAAGGAAAAGCCAAAATGATAACAGTGTTATTAGCTGAAGTTGACCAATGGTTACCTACTGGTTGAGGGAGGTTGCTCTAGCTCAGTGGTTCTCAACCTTGCTAATGCCGTGACCCCTTAATGCAGTTCCCTATGTTGTGGTGACCCCCAACCATAATATTGTTTTACATGTCATTTTACTACTGTCATAAATCATAATGTAAATATCCGATATGCAGGATGTATTTTCATTCACTGGACTAAACTGAGCACAAATACCCAATATGCCCAAATGTGAACGCTAGTGGGGTTGGGGAGAGGATTGATTTTGTAATTTGGGAGTTGTAGTTGCTGGGATTCATAGCATGCCTATAATCAAAGAGCATTCTGAACTTCATCAGCGATGGATTAAAACTGAACTTGGCACACAGAACTCCCATGACCAACAGAAAACACTGGAAGGGTTTGGTGGGCATTGACCTTGAGTTTGGGAGTTGTAGTTCATCTATATCCAGAGGAGTGCTGTGGATTCATGCAATGATGGATCTGGACCAAACTTGGCACGAATACTCAATATGCCCAAATGTGAACACTGGTGGAGTATGGGGAAAATAGACCTTGACATTTGGGAGTTGTAGTTGTTGGGATTTATAGTTCACCTACAATCAAAGAGCATTCTGAACTTGACCAACAATAGAATTGGGTCAAACTTCCCACACAGAATCCCAATGACCAACAGAAAATACTATGTTTTCTGATGGTCTTTGGTGACCCCTTTGACACTCCCTCACAACCCCCTCAGGGGTCGCGACCCCCAGGTTGAGAAACACTGCTCTAGCTCCTAGAGCAAGCAAGGGCAAACTTCAACCCTCCAGGTGTTTTGGACTTCAACTCCCACAATTCCTAACAACTGGTAGGCTGTTAGGAATTGTGGGAGTTGAAGTCCAAAACACCTGGAGGGCCGAAGTTTGCCCACGCCTTTCCTAGAGTCTAGCATTTGATACCAAGGCACTTTCGATGTACTATTGTATATACTGTAAACCTCCCCAATAGTTATGACACCCCCCCCCTAAAAAAACAGGGTCATGTGCAGGAAACACAGGGTGTGCCTAGTGATCTTGAACATGGAATTTTCTTCATCCTCAGTGAAGTACAATTCTTGGGTTTCTTTGGAGGGATATATGGAAAATATAAATCTCTCTGCTATGCAACAGCTCTCTGAATCCCATTGCTTTCCAATTACTATGTTTATATATATATTATTATAAGCTAAAGGGCCCCCTGGTGAAGCAGCGGGTTAAACCACTGAGCTGCTGAACTTGCTGACCGAAAGGTTGGCAGGTCAAATCCGGGGAGTTGGGTGAGCTCCTGCTTTTAGCCCCAGCTTCTACTAACTTAGCAATTTGAAAACATGCAAATGTGAGTAGATCAATAGGTACCGCTTCTGCAGTAATTGCACTTTATGCAGTCATGCTGGCCACGTGACATAGGAGGTGTCTACGGACAACGCCGGCCCCTCAACTTAGAAATAAAGATGAGCACCACCTCCCAGAGTTGTACACAACTAGACTTAATGTCAGAGGAAATGCTTACCTTCATTATAAGCTAAAGCTACAATGCAGATTGAGCAATATTGCAAAATTTGAGAATGCAGAGGAATCACACAGAAGGACAAGACCAGTGCAGGTCCATACTTTTTTCTGCTTTCCCGTGTGTTTGGCAGGTGGGCGCACAAACAGGTTGTGTGAAAGGCACTTTTAATTAACAAACTCCTTTCATGTGACCCCGCCTGTGTGCCCACCCACCAAACAGGCAGGAAGGTGTCCCACGGCCACAGCAGAAAAAAAGAAGGGGCCGATGTAGGACGAGCGAGGTCCACCTTGAAAAGCGCCTCCCACCCACTCTGTCCCGGGCCCAGCAAGGCCAAGTGCTGCAAAGCTCCCTTTCCCTGGGCATCCAGGCAAGGAAAGGCGACGCCTGGCGAGAGCGCCCCTCGGGGATTGGCGCTCTACACAAATGCGTAATTTACCTAATGCTTCAGCCGACCCTGGACAAGACACAAGTATAACTTATCAATCCAGCAACCTCTTTGCTGCAGTGGGAGCAGAACGAAGAAGTAGAGGAGAGGAAGGTACAGTAGCACCATGTCAGGAAGAAATGAGAAGGCAAGGAAATACCGTGAAATTTGGAGACTCTAGACTCCGCCGGTTTCTGCGATCAAGGCCAAAATGATGAGCTGCAATGAGATTAGAAGAAAGGGGTTCACAACAGTCCCTGTGACTCCCCTTCCAAAGAGAGATAGATCCTAGAGCAGTGGTTCTCAACCTTCCTAATGCCGTGACCCCTTAATACAGTCCCTCATGTTGTGGTGACCCCCAACCATAACATTATTTTCGTGGCTACTTCATAACAGCCATTTTGCTACTGTTATATATCATAATGTAAATATCAGATATGCAAGATGTATTTTCATTCACTGGACCAAACTGGGCACAAATACCCAATGCAACCACATGTAAATGCTAGTGGGGTTGTGGGAGGATTGATTTTGTAATTTGGGAGTTGTAGTTGCTGGGATTTATAGTTCACCTATAATCAAAGAGCATTCTGAACTCTACCAGCGATGGGTTTGAACCTAATTTGCCACACAGAACTCCCATGGCCAACGGAAAACACTGGAAAGGTTTGGTGGGTATTGACCTTGAGCTTGGGAGTTGTAGTTCACCTATATCCAGAGAGCAGTGTGGACTCACGCAATGGAGGATCTGGACCAAACTTGGCACAAATACTCAATATGCGCAAATGTGAACACTGGTGGAGCCTGGGGAAAATAGACCTTGACTTTTGGGAGTTGTAGTTGCTGGGATTTATTGTTCATTACAATCAAATAACATTCTGAACTCCACCAATGATAGAATTGGCTCAAACTTCCCACATGGAATTCCCATGACCATCAGAAAATGCTGTGTTTTCTGATGGTCTTTGGCGACCCCTCTGACACCCCTTCAAGACCCCCTCAGGGGTCCCGACCCCCAGGTTGAGAAACACTGTCCTAGAGTGTCTTATGATAACAGGAAAGGCAATAAAGAGAAAGGCTGATTTCATTTAAGATGGGCAGCTACAAAAACATGGGCAGGAAACAAGAGTGGGTACAGAACAGGCCAGACATACCTTGGGGTTCAATATACCCAGGAGAGGATACAGCTTGTCGTTGGCTGGAACGAATTCTTCGAGGAACAGGAGGAGGGGGCTAAAAGGAAGAAATAATACATTACTAAAGGAGGAGTGTGTTGACCTGTGTTACTGTCCATTGGTGCTCTCTTCTGATTTTGGGGGATCCTGTCATCCTGGCAAGGACATTCCCGATTAATCTTCTGTCATTCTACTTTTCCAGCTGCTTTTTATATGTCCAGGTTTCTATCTCTTCTAACCACTCCACTCACTTCCATCCTGGATTACTTCAACTTCTGCAAACTTGAATTCAAACTATAGGCACTCCCCAAGTCGGTTTTGTAGATTTGTTCTCAAGTTGAATTTGTTTGTAAGTCAGAACAGGTACATTTTTAAGTGTAACTCCAGCCCATCGATCGAGCGAGATAGACTTTTTTTTTGTCATGTCAGGAGCGACCTGAGAAACTGCAAGTCGCTTCTGGTGTGAGAAAATTGCCCGTCTACAAGGATGTTGCCCAGGGGATGCCCAGATGATTTGATGTTTTTATCATCCTTGTGGGAGGCTTCTCTCATGTCCCCGTATGAGGAGCTGGAGCTGATAGAGGGAGCTCATCCGCCTCTACCCAGATTCGAACCTGTGAACTGTTGGTCTTCAGTCCTGCCTAGATAGATATATATGTAATGTTCATTTGTGGGGTTAACATAACTCAATAACCACTGGACAAATTGACACCAAATTTGGGCACAATACACATATTAGGCCAACATGTGACCATCACTCATAAAAACACTGAGAAACACAGCAGAAGGGACTTCAAAAGCCAAAAAATAAAAAATACATTACAACACATGCACAAAACCACATACACACACACACAAAAACTGCACTTGTAGACCGCCGTTCTCAGCCCTAGGGCGACAAACAGATATATACACAGATAAATATATACACACACATATACACATATAAAGCACATATACACAGACTAGGCCAACACAACACGTGGCAGGGGACAGCATATATATGTGTGTATATATATATGTGTGTGTGTGTGTGTGTTTTGGACAGCATAGGGAAGGGTTAACCCCCCTGTGCTGTTTGTTTTTCTGTCTGTGCCCCTTTTCAGAAGATTTCAGCTCACTTTCAGTCCCTGTGATAATTGGATTTTGAGAAAATTGGCTTGTTGTAGAAACAAGGACTGGTGATAAAGCTTCAGTTGAGACACCTTTTCCCCATGATAACTCTTTCAGGAGTGAATTTCCCTTCCGAGAGACAGATTTTTCTTACTTCCTGTTGTCTCACTCCTGTTCTTAATAATAATAATAATAATAATAATAATAATAATAATACACTTTATTTGAATTCTGCTCTATCTCCCTGAGGGGACTCAGAGCGAATTACAGTATGCACATATATAGGCAAACATCCAGTGCCTTCTTATGCAGTGAACAACAATGACATACAATACACAAACAAAAGCAAAGGTTTCCCTTTCCATCTTTGGGTTCTGGGGGTGACGCTCAACTCTGGCCATGGGGAGGTGCTCTTGTTCCATTTTCCATGCCGAGGAGCCTGTTGTCTGAGGACCCCTCCTGGTAATGTTGCTAGTATGGCTGCCTTTTACCTTCCTGCTGAGGCGGTACCTATTGAGCTACTATCGTTGCATGTTTTTGAACTGCTAGGTTGGCAGAAGCTAGGGCTAACAGTAGGAGCTCACTCTGACCTTCAGCTTTGAACTGCCAACCTTTGAACTGCCAACCTTCGAGTCAGCAAGTTTTTCTGCAGCTAGACAAGAAATAATCAGGGACAGCTAATCACCTCTCAACTAAGGATACCATCAGGCAGTAAATAAAGAACAACACTCAAACACAGAGGAACTCCAGACAAGAAACAATCAAGGACAGCTAATCACCTCTCAACTAAGGATTCCACTAGGCAGTAAATAAAGAACAACACTCAAACACAGAGGAACTCCAGACAAGAAACAATCAAGGACAGCTAATCGCCTTTCAACTAAGGATTCCCCCAGGCAGTAAATAAAGAACAACACTCAAACACAGAGGAACTCCAGACAAGAAACAATCAAGGACAGCTAATCACCTCTCAACTAAGGATTCCCCCAGGCAGTAAATAAAGAACAACACTCAAACACAAAGGAACTCCAGACAAGAAACAATCAAGGACAGCTAATCACCTCTCAACTAAGGATTCCCCCAGGCAGTAAATAAAGAACAACACTCAAACACAGAGGAACTCCAGACAAGAAACAATCAAGGACAGCTAATCACCTCTCAACTAAGGATTCCCCCAGGCAGTAAATAAAGAACAACACTCAAACACAAAGGAACTCCAGACAAGAAACAATCAAGGACAGCTAATCGCCTCTCAACTAAAGATTCCCCCAGGCAGTTACAATCCACACCAAAAAACTGTCAGGCCATCAAATGCTAATCAAGGTGGCCAACTGAAACATTCATGCCTAGCTCCAACAGACAAGAGTTCTTTCTCCCACCCTGGACATTCTTCCACCGATATATAAACCCAATTTTCCTAGTTTTCAACAGACCTCACAACCTCTGATGATGCCTGCCACAGATGCAGGTGAAACGTCAGGAGAGAATGCTTCTAGGCCATACATACAGAAAAACCTACAACAACCCAATACAACTTCCTTCACCTATCTCCTTTCTCAAATCTCAGTTTATCAGCTCTCACCTCTTGTTCCTCTTCTTCTGTGTCACATCGGCAGGTGGAGAGTTTGTCAGGATCGCGTAGCTTCTCAAGTAGATCAAGGGTCAGGTTGCGGCCGAGACCTTGCTGGGCAACAAATTGATGCTGAGGAAAGAAGGGATCAACTGGAAGTGACTAGATTACGACCTGGTGACAGAGCCACATGAGATGCTGCGATGATAGTGGTGAGTTCTCTTTCCAGCAAATGGTGAAGAGGAAAGCCATAAAACTGAAAATGTTGCTTGCCACTTGAGCATGGCAAGAGAAACATGAAAGAAAGGTCTCCACTGATTGCGGCTGGCACATTTATTTCTTGTTTATTTATTTATTTCCTTTATGTATTGTCGAAGGCTTTCATGGCCAGAATCACTGGTTTGTTTTGAGTTTTCCAGGCTGTATTGTTGAGGCTCACGACATGTATGGCCATGCTGGAGAAGCATTCCCTCCTGACGTTTCACCTGCATTTATGGCAGGCATCTTCAGAGGTTGTGAGGTCTGATGATAATGATGATGATAATAATAATAATAATAATAATAATACACTTTATTTGTATTCCGCTCTATCTCCCCAAGGGGACTCAGAGCAGATTACAGTATACACATATATATGTAAACATTCAATGCCTTATGTTGACCTCACAACCTCTGAGGATGCCCACCATAGATGCAGGCGAAAGGTCAGGAGAGAATGCTTCTGAAACATGGCCATACAGCCCGGAAAACTCACAACAAGCCAGTATTTCCTTTATATTTATCCCACCATTCCCCAGATATAGGGACTCAAGACAACTAACAATAAATATAAAAGAATGTCCATAAAACAATGCCAATATAAAAAAATATAAATATAAAATATAAAATTCCATCTGAACATGAGGAAGAACTTCCTGACTGTGAGAGCCGTTCAGCATTGGAACTCTCTGCCCCAGAGTGTGGTGGAGGCTCCTTCTTTGGAAGCTTTTAAACAGAGGCTGGATGGCCATCTGTCAGGGGTGATTTGAATGCAATATTCCTGCTTCTTGGCAGAATGGGGTTGGACTGGATGGCCCTTGAGGTCTCTTCCAACTCTTTGATTCTATAATTCTATGTGCATTTTGACTTTTTTTTTTTTCAATCTCCGCATTCTAAAGAAAATGGGGTAGTTCACAAACAGGAAGCAAACCAAATTTTTAATTCAGAGCAGTTTAAGAATCATTGCCCCCTAATTATGCCTAAAAAGAGGAGGGCAGACCCACAGGACTTAGGGGGCAGTGCAGGCCAGATGGCATTTCCCCAACCATCCTGGTATGGGTTGTTGTAGGTTTTTTCGGGCTATATGGCCATGTTCTAGAGCCATTCTCTCCTGACGTTTCTCCTGCATCTATGGCAAGCATCCTCAGGAGACCTCACAACCTCTGAGGATGCTTGCCATAGATGCAGGCAAAACATCAGGAGAGAATGCCTCTAAAACATGGCCATGTAGCCTGAAAAAACCTACAACAACCCAGTGATTCCGGCCATGAAAACCTTCAACAATACATCCTGGTATGGGTTGTCTGATGAGTAGACGCAGAAAGGAGAGAGATTCTGATACTCACAGTAAGCATCTTGGAGGCACTGGGTCTCTTCTTGGGGTTCTTGGTTAGTGTCACCTTGACAAAGTTGTGGAAAGCTGGTGTCCTGTGGGAACAGCAGGTTCATTGGTGGGGAGACCTACAAGCCACTCTAAACACCTTCGCAGAAGCATACGAGTAGCTTGACCTGTCATTGAACACTGAGAAAACCAAAGTGCATTTCCAGCAGTCACCAGCCAATCCCTCTCCAATGCCAGAAATACAGCTTAATGGTACAACATTAGAAAATGTTGACAATTTCTGCTCCCTTGGAAGCCACCTCTCCACAAAATTCAACATTTGAGAGTGATGACCCTGGTTTTGGGAGATGTAGTTCACCTGCATCCCAAGAGCACCCGAGAGCACCCAACCTAGCTGATGACTGATCTGGACCACAATTGGTACCCAGACCCACCTGGCTGGGTTTGGGGGGTAATTACCCTGGGAATCTGGGAGTTGTAGTTCACTCATATCCAGAGAGCACTGAACCCAGTCGATGACATATCTGGACCAAACTTGGCACAGAGACCCAACATGGTCAACTGTGCATACAGGCCTGGTTTGAGGAGGACTAACCCACGATTCTGGGAATGGTAGTTCACCCACATCGTTATATATTTTCTAATGGGAGCATTCACAAAAAAAGAAATTACATTCTGGCTTTTTCCTAATAAATAGTGTTACTAATTAACTAAATGATATTACCTAACACCCCAAAACAAACAATGCCTTTAAAAAAAAACGGGCACCGCCGGGTACCCAAGCTAGTTGGCTATAAAATTCAAGCTGTATGTATAAACAAGGTATATAGGAAACAGAGATACATTTCATATGTAAATTTGGGTTCCATCTCCAAGATGCCAAACATCTCCAAACATTTCTGGTTCTAAGCTTTGGGAAGAGGGATACTCAACCTATTATCATCATCATCAATAACAATGACAACCCAATTTACTCTTTCTATAGCTCTAGATAAACTTCAACATTTGCCATTGATAAAAACAATGACTCCAAAACCCATTTGACAGAAGGCCAACTCATTATCGGGGCTCACCACCGGCCTTTCTCCTTGAGCTTCGGAGACTGGTAGCCACTCTTTGTCATCAAGACCAAGACCCTGGAAGGCAGGAGAAAGAGGCAAAGTAGTCAACACATGTACTGCTGAGCAGCCTCCACTCCATGTAACTCTACCACGCTAATCATTTAAACATTCTACGTACATACACACAAAATAAGCTGCATGATTCATATAAAGACTACAGATTTATGCCACCTCCTCTATTTTGCATGATGTCAACAAATTGTAAGGTAAGACTTTGGACCTTTCCAAATAGCCCTATATCTCAGGACATTAAGGCAAAAAATCCCACTGTTCTGCTTTGAACTGGGATATATGGCAGTGTGGACTCAGATAACCCAGTTCAAAGCAGATATTGTGGGATTTTCTGCCTTGATATTCTGGGATATAGGGCTGTATGGAAGGGTCCAAAGATTCAAGCCCCTTCTTCAACCACCAGAGGTTATATTTTGCCTGCAAAATACCAGTTTTGGAAATTCCCGCAAGTTTTCAAAGCTTGAAACCCACTGAGGAGATTTTCATGCCATTGCTATTGGCAGTCTCCAATCCAAGGAATAACATGGAATATAAATCAAATATTGTCCTGAGTTGCCCTCCAAAAACAGCCTTTAGACAACGTTGAAAGTAAAAGAAAACACAAAGGATAAGTGACTGCAATTGAAAAGTGCAAAGAAAACAAGGAAGTCTTAATCCAGACACAAATTAAAGTCTCTTACAAAATCCCAAAAGAAACATCGGTCTTTTATCAGGTAGCAGGAAATGAACTACCGTATATTCCGGCATATAAGGCGACTGGGCATATAAGGCGACCCCCAACTTTTCCAGTTAAAATATAGAGTTAAGATGACTCCCGTGCATAAGACTACACCCGTGTATAAGACGACCCCTGACTTTTGAGGAGATTTTCTTGGGTTAAAAAGTAGTCTTATACGCCAGAATATACTGTAAGTCCTTAGCAACAGACACAAAGCAGATTCCATTGGAGTGAAAACTTTGAGTCCCCCCAGGGGTGAGAAAGGCGGTATATGTCCAGAGGAATGTGTCCAGAGCAGGGCGACTAAAATGATCAAGGGTCTGGAGAACAAGCCCTATGAGGAGCGGCTTAAGGAGCTGGGCATGTTTAGCCTGAAGAAAAGAAGGCTGAGAGGAAACATGATAGCCATGTATGTGAGAAGTCATCCTAGGGAGGAGGGAGCAAGCTTGTTTTCTGCTGCCCTGGAGACTAGGACGCGGAACAATGGCTTCAAACTACAAGAGAGGAGATTCCATCTGAACATTAAGAAGAACTTCCTGACTATGAGAGCTGTTCAACAGTGGAACTCTCTGCCCTAGAGTGTGATGGAGGCTCCTTCTTTGGAGGCTTTTAAACAGATGGCCACCTGTTAGGGGTGCTTTGAATGCGATTTTCCTGCTTCTTGGCAGGGGGTTGGACTGGATGGCCCATGAGGTCTCTTCCAAATCTATGATTCTACAATTCTATGCTGTTCTTAGATGGGCAAAGCAACAGCAAGGAGTGAACAACTTTTCTGCAAAACAACCTACCGTAAAGGGTGTGTATCAAACAGAGGAGGCTGAAGCTCTGCCAACTCAATAGCCGTGATCCCCACTGACCACACATCACACAGTTCATTATATCCTCCCTTGAGCTCCACCGCTGCCACTTCTGGAGCCATCCTGAAACAGTGAGAAAATGTCCTTGGTGAAGTGCCCTCAACCCAACACATCTTCTGAAAAATGCATGCCTTCCATTGTGTCCTATAGGATCTCTATAAGCTCTCAGAACATGGCAGAAGGTATATGTGGTGGGCACTGACCTTGGGTTTGGGAGTTGTAGTTCACCTACATCCAGACAACACTCTGGACTCAAACAATGATGGATCTGGACTAAACTTGGCATGAATACTCAATATGCCCAAATATGAACATTGGTGGATTTTGGGGAAAATAGACTGTGATATTTGGGAGTTGTAGTTGCTGGGTTTTATAGATTACCTACAATCAAAGAGCATTTTGAAACCCATCAATGATAGAATTGGGCCAAACTTCCCACACAGAACCCCCATTACCAACAGAAAATTGTGTTTGGCAACCCCTCTGATACGCCCTTATGACCCACCCAGGGGTCCCGACCCCAAGGTTGAGAAACATTGCACTACACCATGCTGAATCTTCAAATATTCCTTGCATCTTAGGTAATATTAATATGTATTCCAGGGCTGAATCTTGACTTACTACTTCATCACACTAGAGAATGAATCCACTTTAAATCCGCTTTCTGCCTCCTGCAGAATTCTGGGGTTTGGAGTTTAATGAGGCTGTTAAAGGCTCCTCCCTAAACTACAAACCCCCAAATTCTGCAGGAGGCAGCAACCAGATTTAAAGTGAATTCACTCTCCAGTGCAGTGGTGCTCAACCTGGGGGTCGCATCCACTGTGAGGGTTGCGAGGGGGTGCCACAGGGGTCTCCAAAGGCCATCAGAAAATGCAGCATTTTCTGTTGGTCATGGGGGTTCTGTGTGGGAAGTTTGGCCCAATTCTATACTTGGTGGGGTTCAGAATGCTCTTTGATTGTAGGTGAACTATAAATCCAAGGAACTACAATTCCCAAATGTCAAAGTTTATTTTCCCCAAACTGCACCAGTGTTCATATTTGGGCACATCGAGTACTTGTGCCAAGTTTGGTCCAGATCCATCATTGTTTGAGTCCACAGTACTCTCGGGATGTAGGTGAACTACAACTCCAAAACTCAAGCTCAATGCCCACCATATCCTTCCAGTATTTTCTGTTGTCATGGAAGTTCTGTGGTTCAATTCCATCATTGGTGAAGTTCGGAATGCTCTTTGGTTGTAGGCGAACTATAAATCCCAGCAACTACAACTCCCAAATGACAAAATCCCCCAAAACTCACCAATATTCAAATTCGGGAGCATTGGGTGTTTGTGCCAAATTTGGCCCAGTGAATGAAAACACATCTTGCATATCATATATTTACATTACAATTCATAACAGTAGCAAAATTACAGTAATGAAGTAGCAACGAAAATGTTATGGTTGGGGTCACCACATCATGAGGAAATGTATTAAGAGGTCGTGGCATTAGGAAGTGTTCTGGCACGGCTGTGCCAAGGGTTCCCTTTTTCTTTCTTTGCTTGTTTGCATGAATTCCTTTAGGGCATGCATTTTGCAATCTGGCAGCTTCCTCCAGGTTGCAATCATAGGGCCAACGACCCATCAATCATCGTTAAGTTCTTTAGTTCCGCCCCTTTTTCCAGGTTTGGAGGGCAAAAGGGACCTTTAGCTCAGTTTGTACAGTGAAGCCTTTCTTACAGGATGTGCGAATTTCTCCCACCTGTAGAAAGCTTAGTTTCTCACAGCTTCTGGGGAATACAGTTTTTGTCCTACAGCTTTTGCTGGGGAATACAGTTCCACAGCTCAACAGCCAGCCTTGCTGAAAGGAAAAGGACTTCCTTTGTCTTGGAAAATCTACACAGAGACTTTGCCTGGTAAGGACCACTCCGGTTAGCCATAAAGCAAATTGGAACCGGAGTAGGGTCCCCACGCCAGCAAAGCCTAAAAAGCAAATTGCCCAGGGAGGGGTAAAAGGATTTCCCTTATAGAGGAAAGAAACAGTTCATGAAGCAAGTTGCCTGTCCATTGTGGGCAAGTTAAGAAAGCCACCAATTTTCCAGAGTTTTAAAGTGTTTAGTCTGTGTGTTGAAGATCTAAGAAGTATTTGATTGATTTGTTGAAAAATTAAGCAACAATAAAGAACTTCATTAAACTTTCTAAGCTTCTAAAGACGTTGTATGGGGAAATTCATAGGGCCTCTCAGCTGAGGCACCCCGGTATCCTGCTGGGCATATAGAGAGCATGTCCTGTTAATAGATAATAGCGCGTGACAGCACAGGAAGGTTGAGAAACTGCTCTAGTGCGATGAGATTCTAATATTTGCAAAAGGTAATAATCAATTTGGAAACATTCAATCTCAAGATTGCCTTCATATCAATGATCACACCTGATTTACAGACAGCACTTGTTAAGTTTGGAAAAGGAAACAAACAGATGGATGTTTTTCTTATTATTATTTTTTTACCAGTAAGGTGTACCGATGAAAGACATCCTCCGGGCAAAGGTAGCACTGAGTTGAGCTGAGATACCAAAGTCAGCTGGCATGTAAGGAGAAACAGAGAACATGAGAAAGATTGGGGAAAGCTCTGTCAACACAAAACAGTTTTAGATTTCAAAGATAGGCTGCAAACGCTTGGAAAAGTTATCAGGTTGGACTATGACTCCCAGAACATCCCCCAACAAATATGACCATACTGGTTGGAGAATTCTGGTAGTTGTAGTTCAAAAAGGTAACTTTTCCAAGATGGGGAAACACTGCATTTTGACATACCTAATCTGTATTTATTTTACACAAAAACAGAAGCATCGCCACCCCCATTTCCACTGAAACAACTTAATCATGGCCCTGAAAAAAACCTAAGAAAGGGCCCCAGGAACACAGAATCATAGAATCATAGAGTTGGAAGAGACCTCATGGGCCATCCAGTCCAACCCCCTGCCAAGAAGCAGGAATATTGCATTCAAATACACCCCTGACAGATGGCCATCCAGCCTCTGTTTAAAAGCTTCCAAAGAAGCAGCCTCCACCACACTCCGGGGCAGAGAGTTCCACTGCTGAACAGTAGGGCTGGGCAGTTTCGTTTCGTAATTTCGTAATTCGTTAAAAATTCGTTATTTTTTTTGTTACGAAGCGATAATGAACCATTCAGGAGCATCTAAAAAACGAAACGAATTTTTCAATTTGTTTCGTAATTGCTTCGTATTCGTTTCGTATTCGTTTCGAAATCGTTTCGTTATTATTTCCGCATGTCTGGGGCAAGTTTTATAGCTGTTGTTTGTTTAATCAGTGAAAAAAATATAAATATCACACCAACAGTCAACAACAGAGGGAGAGGGAAGCTTCAGAAGTTCCCCCTGTCCCATATGGAGGTTTTTTAGCGTATTGCGCGGTCGCGTCCGCCATTAACGAATCGATTCGTATTCGTTTTGTATTTGTTTCGTATTCGTTTTGTAATTTTACGAAATTTCGTAAATATCGAACTTTTTTAAAGAAAAATTTCAGAATTCTTTTAAATATCGAAACGCAAAAAAACCCAAAAAACGAATCGAGTGTAGAAACAAATTTTTCCGTGGTTGCCCAGCCCTACTGAACAGCTCTCACAGTCATGTTCAGATGGAATCTCCTCTCTTGTAGTTTGAAGCCATTGTTCTGCGTCCTAGTCTCCAGGGAAGCAGAAAACAAGCTCCCTGTGGCTTCCTTTCACATATTTACACATGATTATCATATCCCCTCTCAGCCTTCTCTTCTTCAGGCTAAACATGCCCAGCTCCTTAAGCCGCTCCTCATAGGGCTTGTTCTTCAGACCCTTGATCATTTTAGTCGCTCTCCTCTGGACACATTCCAGCTTGTCAATATCTCTCTTGAATTGTGGTGCCCAGTGAGAACAGTGAGATTAATTGTATTCAGACTTCTTTTGTCTGTAAAACTCAGATTGCAGCAAGTGAAGTCAGTTGGACAAAGTGAGAGGAGGGGAGAAAAACTGGGACATTTTAAATGCAGCAGACAGAGAATTAATCAGGACTGTCTCTGCCAAATTGGGCCAGCTGGAGAGTATTGAGGTGTATTGAGCAGTATGGATATTTTAATAGAGAAACAACTCTGTGTATGAAGGGAGTAAGATGTCAAATGTTCAGAGGGACCCTGGACGCTCCATTCAGCCCCACAATCAAGACCTCGCAATCTTTAGGCATCAGCACTGTGAAACATAGAATCATAGAGTTGGAAGAGACCTCGTGGGCCATCCAGTCCAACCCCCTGCCAAGAAGCAGGAAAATTGCATTCAAAGCACCCCTGACAGATGGCCATCCAGCCTCTGCTTAAAAGCTTCCAAAGAAGGAGCCTCCATCACACTCCAGAGCAGAGAGTTCCACTGCTGAACGGCTCTCAGAGTTAGGAAGTTCTTCCTCATGTTCAGATGGAATCTCCTTTCTTGTAGTTCGAAGCCATTGTTCCACGTCCTAGTCTCCAGAGCAGCAGAAAACAAGCTTGCTCCCTCCTCCCTATGACTTCCTCTCCTATACGTATACATGGCTCACATGCTTATACATACCCAGTTTTACTTCCCCATGGTCATTGAGGAGAATGTTGGCTCCCTGAAACACAAAAAGACATATTCAAATGGTGAACTGTGTGTGACACACATACGCAAATTGAAAGTGAGAAGCAGTCAGGTGGCGTGATCTGGGGAGAGGAGTCTCTCTCGCAAAGCAGAGAGAGTGTATTCTTTTTTTTTATCTTCCTCTACAACAAATTGAGCAAAACCTTTCAAAGTTTGGTCTTTTTATAATTATAGTTTCCAGAAGTCTGACTGCAATATGTTATGTATTACTTTTATATATGTCTTGTATTGAATTTTTGCCTTTTATTATGTTGTGAACCACTTTGAGTCCCCCCAGTTTACTTGTCCGAACTTATCTCCCGCTACGCTACACCTAGGGCCCTAAGATCATCTGAGGATACCCTGCTCATTGTCCCTCCATTGTGGCAATCCCGTTTGGTGGGGAGGAGGGACGGGGCCTTTTCTGTGGTGGCCCCTCGGCTGTGGGACTCCCTCCTGAGTGAAATTAGATCGGATGCATCCCTCTTGTCCTTCCGGAAACATGTAAAATCCTGGCTATGGGATCAGGCTTTTGGAGAGTAGGCTGACTTGCTAACGTGCTGAGCTATATAGAACCGATGGACTGCCCCTGGATAATGTTTAAATCGGTGACCGCTGACTGTTTGCTGTCTGTTTTTATACTGCTTTTATATTGTTCACATGGTTTTATACTGTTTATACTGCTTATATAGCTGTTTTATTATATTGCTGTTAAATTGTATATTCATGTTTTGATGCGGGCACTACAGGTGCCCATTTGTTAGCCGTCCTGAGACCCTCTGCGGAGGTTGAGATAGGACGGGATATAAAAGCCCTAAATAAATAAATAAAACCCCACATAGAGCGCGTTGCAGTAGTCTATTCCAGCCACTGCCAGAAAGGACAGAGAGTTTCATCTATGCTGATGATTGTGCCATTACCGCTCAAGAAGGGAGCTTTGAGATGGTTGAACAGAAGTTCTCCAAAGCTCTAGGTGCCCTTACTGTCTATTACAGGGAAAACCGGCTGATACCTAATCCATCTAAAACACAGACATGTGCTTTTCATCTCAAGAACAGACAAGCATCCTGAACTCTGAGGATGACCTGGGAAGGAATCCCACTGGAGCATTGCAGCGCACCCAAATACCTGGGAGTCACTCTGGACCATGCTCTTATCTACAAGAAGCACTGCCTGAACATCAAGCAAAAAGTGGGTTCTAGAAACAATATCATACGAAAGCTGACTGGCACAACCTGGGGATCACATCCAGACACAGTGAAGACATCTGCCCTTGCGCTATGCTACTCTGCTGCTGAGTATGCATGCCCACTGTGGAACACATCTCACCACACTAAAACAGTGAGTGTGGCTCTTAATGAGACATGCTGCATTATCACGGGGTGTCTGCACCCTACATCACTGGAGAAATTACACTGTTTAACCGGTATTGCACCACCTGACATCCACCGGGAAGTAGCAGCCAATAGTGAAAGGACCAAGGCGGTCACATCTCCAGCTCATCCCCTGTTTAGGCATCAGCCAGCACGTCAACGACTTAAATCAAGAAATAGTTTTCTAAGATCTACAGAGACACTCGCTGGAACACTTCAGCAAGCGAGAGTCCAAAAGTGGCAGGCTCAAACCCAGAACCTCAACCAATGGTTGATACCAAATGAGAAACTCCTCCCTGGGCACACAGAAGACTGGGCGACTTGGAAGGCGCTGAACAGACTGCGCTCTGGCACCACGAGATGCAGAGCCAACTTTCGGAAATGGGGCCACAAAGTGGAATCCACGACATGCGAGTGTGGAGAAGAGCAAACCACAGACCACCTGCTGCATTGCAACCTGAGCCCTGCCACATGCACAATGGAGGACCTCCTTGCGGCAACACCAGAGGCACTCCAAGTGGCCAGATACTGGTCAAAGGACATTTAATCAACTACCAAGCTTGCAAAGTTTGTGTTTTTTTTATTCTGTTTGTTTGTTTTGTTCTGTTAGAAATGTAATACAATGGTCTGGTTGTCCCTGACACGATAAATAAATAGTAGTCTATTTGAGATGTAACAAGGGCGTGAACCACTATGACCACATTATATGATACACATCATCATGTCTCCAAATTAAATGTGACAAATTTTAAGGTGAAGTATGTTTCAGCTTGCTATGACACTTCGGAGGTGCAAAATGGCTACTTTAATTAAGATTGTGGAATCTAACAAGGTTCTTCTCCACGCTCGTTGCTAGTTCTCCCTTTTCTGGATTCAGTTCTCTTTTAAGAACTCCAAAAACAACCGTGTGGCTGACCCTGCCTCATCTCGTGTGGCAAACCACAGAAACTAATTCCCCTCTAAAGGGTAAACAACAACAGATGTTTTCATTTTTCATCAACTTTAGGGTGGGCTAATCAACTTAATTGAGTGACCAAGATCCCCTTCCAATTGCTAGTGTTACTGAGAAAGTGTAAGAAGCCAAACATTAGTCCTCCAGATGTTTTGAAAGGTAGGACTAGCAAGAGCTTTTGAAGACCAAAATGCTTGGATGCTTAAAGTCTGGAAGCCACTTCGGTAAGCAGAGACATACCGTATATACTCGAGTATAAGCCGACCCGAATATAAGCTGAGGCACCTAATTTTACCACAAAAACTGGGAAAATGTATTGACTTGAGTATAAGCCAAGGGTGGGAAATGTAGCAGATACTGGTCAATTTCAAAATAAGAATAGATACCAATAAAATTACATTAATTGAGCAATCGGTAGGTTAAATGTTTTTGAATATTTACATAAAACTTTACTATAAGACTGTCCAGCTCTGATTAAACCATTATTCTAGCCTTCTTCAATATAAATGTGCTTAAGTAACCTAATAATAATAAAGAGAGCAAAATAATAAATGTAATAGTAATAAATAGAGTAAAATAATAAGTGTAATAATTATAGAGAGTAAAATAATAAATGTAATAATATCAATAATAGAGTAAAATAATAAAGGCAACAATAATAAATAAAATAAATATAATAATATAATATAATAATAAAGAGAGCAAAATAATAAATGTAATAATAACAATAATAAATAGAGTAAAATAATAAATGTAATAAAAATAATGTAAATGTAATAATATCACTAATAATAGAGTAAAATAATAAAGGTAATAATAATAGAGTAATAAAATAAATATAATAAAAATAATACTAATAAAAGAGTAAAATAATAAATAACCTTGGCTCGAGTATAAGCCGAGAGTGGGAAATGCAGCACATACTGGTAAATTTCAAAATAAAAATAGATACCAATAAAATTACATTAATTGAGGCATCAGTAGGTTAAATGTTTTTGAATATTCACGTAAAACTGTAATATAAGGCTGTCCAACTCTGATTAAACCATTATTCTAGCCTTCTTCAATGTAAATGTGCTTACGTAGCCTTCTGATAATAATAGAGCAAAATAATAAATGTAATAATAACAATAATAAATAAAGTAAAATAATAAGTGTAATAAAATAATAGAGTACAATAATTTAAATGTAATAATATCAACAATAATAGAGTAAAATAATAAAGGCAATAATAATAGAGTAAAATAATTATAATAATATAATAATAAAGAGAGCAAAATAATAAATGTAATAATAACAATACGTAGAGTAAAATAATAAATGTAATAAAAATAATAGAGTAAAATAATGTAAATGTAATAATAGCAATAATAATAGAGTGAAATAATAAATGTAATAATAATAGAGTAATAAAATAATAAAAATAATACTAATAGCAGAGTAAAATAATAAATAACCTTGGCTCGAGTATAAGCCGAGGGGAGCCTTTTCAGCCTAATAATATCAATAATAATAGAGTAAAATAATAAATATAATAATAATAGCATAATAAAATAAATATAATAATAATAATAATAATAACAGAGTAAAATAAATAAATAACCTTGACTCGAGTATAAGCCGAGGGGGACTTTTTCAGCCTAAAAAAAAGGTCTGAAAAACAAGGCTTATAAGAGTGAAATAATAAATGTAATAATAATAGAGTAATAAAATAATAAAAATAATACTAATAGCAGAGTAAAATAATAAATAACCTTGGCTCGAGTATAAGCCGAGGGGAGCCTTTTCAGCCTAATAATATCAATAATAATAGAGTAAAATAATAAATATAATAATAATAGCATAATAAAATAAATATAATAAAATTATTATAGAGTAATAAAATAAATGTAATAAAAATAATAATAATAGAGTAAAATAATAAATGTGATAATAATAGAGTAAAATAATAAATGTAATAAAAATAATAATAGAGTAATAAAATAAATATAATAAAAATAATACTAATAACAGAGTAAAATAATAAATAACCTTGGCTCGAGTATAAGCCAAGGTGAGCCTTTTCAGCCTAATAATATCAATAATAATAGAGTAAAATAATAAATATAATAATAATAGCGTAGTAAAATAAATATAATAAAAATAATACTAATAGCAGAGTAAAATAATAAATACCCTGGGCTCGAGTATAAGCCAAGGTGAGCCTTTTCAGCCTAATAATATCAATAATAATAGAGTAAAATAATAAATATAATAATAATAGCGTAGTAAAATGAATATAATAAAGATAATACTAATAGCAGAGTAAAATAATAAATAACCTTGGCTCGAGTATAAGCCGAGGGGAGTTTTTTCAGCCTAAAAAAAGGGCTGAAAAACTAGGCTTATGCTCGAGTATATACATTAATTATGAAATTTCCAAGGACCTT